CAGTGCTGATAGTCCAGCTGGTGGGTAGGGTGGGTAGGATGCATGTATGAGAAATGGTTGTATAAATAGTGTGCCTGCAGAAAATATCTCAGGGCAGAACTGACCTAACCATAGGTCTTCTAAGTTAGCTTTGAGCCTTCTGTAATCTGAGACAGCAAAGGATAGCTTCCTAAGAGGGAGAAAGGAGAAAGGTCTGCTTATATGGTAAAGACCAAACATAACCAAGGGTCAGTTGGGGCAGTGGGGGTGGGAGCCACTGTAGGTCACAAACTCCTGAGGGTAGAATAAAGGAGGGAATGGTGATGTTACAGCTTGACCCCTGAGTTCAAGAGCCAGTGAAAATAGCTAGCAGAGAAAATTCCAAGAAGGGACAGCTTTGGTAGGACTCTGTTGGCTACTGGTACAGAGTAGATTCAGAGGTGACCTTGGGGTCCCAGACCTGAGCAGCTGTCAGAAGCTTGGATGGGTAGCTTTGTGTTTCAATGGGTTGTATCAAATTCAGGTCCAACTCCTGGTGAAACATGGACTTTAGTTCTAGGGATTGCCATAGAGAGCATAAAAGAAGCCTGGAAAGTCTGGCAGGTCATAGCATTCATTATAGCCAGGAGGGCTAGGAATATAGCTCAGTTGGTAGAGTGCTTACCTCACATGCACAAGGCCTTGGGTTCGATCCCCAGTATCACCAAAAAAAAGAATCACAACATTATATCCAGGTGCCTTTGAGACCCTCTACTGTTAATTGGTCCCTGAATCTTCTTGATAGTCTTTGAGTCAAAGTCTGCACTCAGATTTTTCATTAGGCGCTTTTGTAGAAAAGGTCTCCCTTATGTGTTTTTCTCCTTAGGAAGTATAGTTACAACCCTGTGCCTGCCAAGCCTGCAGCTATTTGCCCTCCTTCCTCCACTGAAAATCCCTGGTTAAGGTTGCTTGGCCTTAGCTGTCCCCTTGACTATTGTTTGGAAGAGAGCGGATGCCTGCAAGCATCCCTTTGGTGGAATGGAAATCTCCAAGATGGATATGTCTTTAGAAATTGTTCCTGCACTACCTCAATAATAGAAATAATAAAAAACCCTTTTCTATCCCAGGACATCCTCTTCGATGCAAATACCCACAAAGTGAAGAAATTTGTCCTACACACCAATTACCCTGGGCATTATAATTTTAACATGTAAGTACAATTACACATATCTGCCCCTTTTGTAAGTGAGCTTTGGGCTGGGGAGAAAACAAAACAAACAAAAAGAAAAAAAAATAAAACAGGAAAAAGAATTTGTGACTTTGAGCATTCTCTAATTTATCTCTACCTGAGTTCTTTCATTTTTACTTGTACATGCTATGCAAGTGCTCTACCACTGACCTACATCTCCAACCCTCTGCCTGAATTCTTGCTGTTTTACAGGAGGTGGACATTTACTGAGTGCCTGCTGTGTCCCTGCCACAATGTCCAATGTTTTACATTCTCTCCATATGTGCCCATTTTCCAAGTAGAGAAAAAGGATCAGAAGCCTCAATACCTTATCCAAGGTGTTAGGCTCTTTAGACCTTAAGGCCATGCCCTATTCTATTCGTCCTCAGTACCTAATCTGGCCTCTCCCCATGAATGCTGTGTCAGGGATCCAGAGCCATGGCATTGGGGAGGTGTCTTTGATTCTGGTTTTTGGGGGGTACAGTATTGGGATGTAGGAGTGGTCAGGGCTTCCAAGATTGCCCAGCCTTTATCCTCATCTACCTTTTCTGTAGTTATCACCGCTGTGAATTCAAGATCCCACTAGCCATAAAGAAAGGTGAGTAGTGTCCCCTCGGGGTAAGGAAGAGGTTCGGGAGTCACTTTTCCATTCTGAGATGCGAGAAGAGCCAAATAGAGAGGGTGGTAGTAGTTAGATTAGTGAAGCCTTTGCCTGCCTGCTTCTGCTGGTAATCTCAGCTCCTCTGGGATAGGTCCCTTATTCTGGGAGCTGCATTGTTCTTGATCTAGAATCTCCTGGAGGCCTTCAAGGATTTTTCCTCTGACTATGGGATTGCTGGCCTCTGAAGGGGAAATTTTCCTATCTACAGATGATTATCCAGTGCCCCGAACCCATCCTTAGTGCCTATCTCATGCTACTAGTTGGTAGCTCATACCTGGCTAACCTTCCTTCTCCTCTCCATCCTCTTCAATCCTGGAGCTCCAAAATTCTCCATCCTGCCTATGCTTCCCGTGTACTCTAACCCTGGGGCAAAAGGTAGCTAGATCTGAATTCTGCCTACTGCTGAGGACACAGGTGGCCTAGGCCAGTTACCAGCCTGCCTATTGTGTTCTCTTTTCAGAAAATGCAGATGGTCAAACAGAAACATGTACAACCTACAGCAAGGTGAGTTCCTATTTTCCTACCTGATGCAACTTTAGAAAGACTTGAGCATGAGCCTGCTGGCAGTTTAGGTCATGTTCTCCAGGCCTGTCATTAGTCACAGGTGTGTTTAAGTCCCTACTAACCCTTGCTGCTCCCCATCCATCTTGCAGTGGGACAATATCCAGGAACTCCTGGGCCACCCTGTGGAGAAGCCCGTTGTCCTACACAGGTGAGTCAGCATTTGCTGTCTCTGATCATTCCGTCTGCTCCTTGAAGCCCAAAAGGCTCAAGGAAAGTCTGCCAGTGGGTATTGCTTTAGAAATTATAGAAGTTTCTGATGTTGCCAAAACATACTTCCTGCTCCATCCTGCACATTAGGACTGAGCTAATTGGTCTTGTTGTTTGCCCCCTACCATACTTCTAAGTATGGAGGCCCTCTCATCACCAATTATTCAAAATGAGAGGTGGTCTTGACCAATTGTCCCAGGCTCTTCTTTCCTATCAAAGCCACTACCTACTATAACCTAAAGACCCTTCCTTGCTGCTATGCTGCCTACAGCTTCTTCTCAGGCTCAAGGCTCCACTTGAAAGAACCATTCTGACTTTTTACCACCCCTGTCCAGTTCCACCGTAACTTTTTGAGCCCTCTTTGATTATCTAGAATTCTGAATTGAGTCAGGCCATTCCTACCCCTAGAACCTAAAGGGCCTATATGGAGACAGAAGTACACTCAAAGCCACAAGAGATAATTAGCTGGTAGCCCACATCCCAAAAGGGAATGCCTTGCTGACCTTGTTCAGACCTTTGTCTGCTCCTCTAATTCTGCTTTCTCTGGCCTCAGGTCCTCCTCCCCAAACAACACTAACCCATTTGGTTCCACATTCTGCTTTGGTCTTCAGCGGATGATCTTTGAGGTAAGTCCTGGAGTTTATAGAAATAAGCTGCTGAGGCATTGGTGGTCATGGCAAGGACAAGCAAGTGATTGAGGAAAATTGGGAAGGGCCTAAGTGCCAGGGTGGGTAGATTAATTTTTCCTCAGCAACCCTGTCCATGTACTTGGCCTACCCACACTTAATAGTAAGGGCTCAGAAATGATTTGGGGTAAGCTGGGGATGTAGTTCAGTGGTAGAATATTTGCCTAGCATGCACAAGGACCTGGGTTCCATCCCCAGGACCACAAAGTAGGGGAAAAGTTGAAGAAATTTGGAATTATGGAGGCTGAAGCAGTCTGTTTCCAACAAAATGAGAAGGATTACAGGGATCTCTGTACTGAAACCAGGTACTCAGGGAAAGGGGCAGTGGGGACAAACCCTGGGCATGTTAGGAACCTTTGTGAATGAATGTACTGTAGGCAAATGGCTCTGGAGGCCCCACTGGCTTGGGAGAAGAATAGATAGCCTTTTTTTCTTTTTCTTTTTCTTTCTTTCTTTTTTTTTTTTTTTTCTTGGAAGCTATACTTTTAGCAGACCCTTAGCAGTTCCAGAAGAACTAGGCAAGTAGGTGTGGTAAAGGTCAAGAAGCCTTGGCTTTGTGTATATGACCTCTAGCCAACCCCTCTGCCACACAGGATCTGCCTTTATTCCTTCTCCCCTGTCCCTTGATCCACTGTCCTCTTCTTATACCAGGTCATGCAGAACAACCACATTGCCTCGGTGACCCTGTATGGGCCCCCCCGGCCTGGTGCCCACCTGAGAACAGGAGAGCTACCCTAGAGACATCACCACCCCTGCCCCTCTACCCATGGAACTGTGCGTTGCATCCTGCTCAGTGGGTCTCTATACCACCTGTGGGTATTCTTGGACACCTTGCCAGTGTTGAAGGGCTCTTGGAATGTTATGAGGTGGAACGAACGCAGGCTGGGTGCTTTGCCATGAGACAAAGGGCCCAGATATTCTCTGTCCATCCTAAGCCTGCTGCTGCCAGCAGGAAACACAGACTGCAAAGAGAAGCACAAACTTTGATCCTTGATATCTGGACTCAGAAGCTCTCTACTAACATGTAAGGAGGCAGGACATGTCAGCCCCTGTCCCACACACATTGGGAAAACTTGGGGCTCTTTCTGTGGCCGAGGACATGGGTCCTTGCTTTTGGCTCCACATTGCCATGTGACCCTTGTGGCAGGAAGGTAGCGTGTCCATAGTACTTGGTAGCAACATTTGCACTACATCCACTTTTGTTACTTGATGAGCTGGCTGTGGCCAAGGTGGCCTACCTGCCCTTCCTGGTTCCTTTCTGGCACCCATTGCCCACCAGTCCTAGGAAGCACACCCAACTGGTTGAAACACAGCTTTCTACCATCCAGGTATGTGTTCAGGCCTGGTTCCCACCACTCTTGGAGCCAGCTTTCAAGGTTGCCTGTGCCCCTGCTCTGCCCAGCCTGGCTGGCAGGGCTGCATGTTTCCATCCTGTTTGCCTCTTTTATTTAATGCCAAAGTTTTAGCCAAAGACATCTTCCTCTTTCATTGTGTTTTAGGATTCTGTTCTGCACTGTGGGCCAGCTCCCTGCCTCAAACCTGGGCATTGTCCTCAAACCAGGCCATTCATGGCTCAAGGCTGGGGGGCTCCAGGGAGGTTGGGCTGCTTGGTCTCTTCATGGGTCTGGCTAATGGAAAGTAGCATATATATGCTTTAAAAACATTAATCTTTTTGGAAAGAATTAAGAGAAATGTATAATTTTAATCCCATTTTTAATATTTTGGTCTAGCAACTTGTGATACATAGATGACAATTTTGTGAGTTTTTCAAATGTGTGTACAGATTTTTGTAAATATGAAACTTTTGTAATTAACTCATGTACAGCCTCATCCTGTATAGTTCATGATGAATGTGCAGGGGATCTGCTCCACGTGCCTGTATGGTTCCTAGTCCTATAGTCAGGCTTATGTGGCACTCCCATGACTTTGATTTTGTAACTGACTAATGTCTTCCCATTTGGACAGTGGTCTGGCCAGAGACCCTGCACATTTTACTGTCAGGGGTAGCCAGGACTATTCCCATCCTCTTGGAATGAGGGACCCATCCTCATCCCCTGCCCACATCCCTTCTCCAATAAAGCACCTGTGCCCTCAGCAGCAGCTTGCCATGGGCTGTTGCTGAGATATTTGTACTGAAATAAGTGTGGAAGTATTTATTTCTTAGGAAGGGGGTGGTTGAAGAATATGAGAAATTTTATAGTAGAAGAGTCTGAGGAGACAGCCATGGCTCCTCTGAAGGGGACGGGACAGCTTTTAACAATGGCATAGTGTATGGGTATAGGAGATGGGGAAAGACTTTGGGAACATGACATAGTTGTCCTTGATATGGCTCTATCCATGGTGTACCAGGCAGACCTGGATCCTATTGGAGTTGGCCCAGGAAAGCAGACCTGAGAGGGGAAAGATCTAAAGATGTAGACAGGGCTGGGAATCCAATTGAAGAAGCAGGTGGCAAGCAACATGTCTACTTTAGACTGAGTTATGACAGAATGCCTGCCAGGTCCATGAAGGCTGTGGGACCTGGCCTTGAGGAGCTGCATGTGTCTGCATCATCCTAGGAGTTCAAAACCAAGCCTCCACCTGAACACACACCTATGTGCTACTAGGATGACTAAATATGTCCATTGCTCTGGGGCCTGCTGGGCAAGACATGGTCTTCCTCCACCTCAGCCATAGCTCTACTTGTGGTCACCAATACATTGTTTTTTAGACCTCCTCTGTGTAGTATGAGCCAACAGGAAATGCCAAACTCAGTTTCCATACCCTGGGATTCTGAGGAGGCAGACACAGGTAATCTAGGAAAGAGTAACCCACACCTTAATAATCCACACAGGAATCTCCTTCAGGCTCTCTTCTGTTCCATCCTGGGGCTAAGAGAAGCTTGGCACTGTGATGGGTGGCTAAGAGCCCCACTGGAAGGGGCCTGCAGCAACGGGCTGCCTATGTGCACAGACTGGCCCATGTGACCCATGCAGCAGGCGCCACATAAGCCAGATGTCAGCAGCTGAGAGCCCATGTACTACAACCAATTCGCGGTAGAAGCAGGGGTCGAAGGTGCTCAGGTGTGGTGCTGCAGAAGGCTGGGAAATGCCAAAGGTACGGAAAGCTGGGTGAGGCTCAGGTGTGAGCCGGAGGCGCTGCAGACACATGCCTAGAAAGACATCATCGATGGGAAAGAGCTCAACCTGTGCACAGGCACTTGCCAAGCGGCGCAGCGTAGCTCCAGAAAGAACAAAACCACCACCACCTGCGTAGGCTGGGTAGGCAGGCAGGCCATACACAGCCTCTGGGATGTAGTACTTACTGGCCCTAGCACGGATTGGCCTCGCCTGCACTATTACATCACCTGCAAGCAAGTCCTGCGCAGGATCCCTCGATGCTAGGAACTCCAGCAGGTTCCCCACGTGTACAAATACATCAGCATCACCTTTAAAAACAAAGCGCACGTTGGGGCAAAAGGCTGAGGCCCAGGCCAGAAAGTGGATCTCCTTAAGTGTTAAGTTGAAAAAAGTGTCGTCGAAGGCCCAGAGCAAGATGTCCGAATATGCATGGCTCTCAGCATGCAGCAGTGCACGCCAGTGTGTCTGTGTGCCCACCCCCTTTGGGTCAGCCTTATTGGTGCCTGCACTCCTGGGCACCCCCAGCAAGAACACACGGCGTACAAGTGCCCCCTGCACGCGACCCTCGGCACCCCACGTCTGGCGCACGGCTTGTCGCCTCTCGAAGTCAGCTGCCACCGACTTGACAGCTATGAGCAGGTCAGGTCGGCCACCAGGTGCATCATCACCACGGCACTTGTGAGGCTGGTTAATGAGGAGTGAAAAGCGCCGCTGGTCCTTGGCGCGCAAGTAGCGGCGGAAATCAAAGGAGCCGGTGGGAGTGGGCGATGGCGGCGTGTCCCCTTCGTAGGCCGGTGGGGCTGCGCCAGAGTCCAGTACCTGGAATGCTCGGGGACCTGGGGTGGGTCTCTGTGCCTCCCGCCCTTGCGCTTGCGGCGTGCTAGTAGTGGGGGCCGCGCCGTCGCGCTGCGCATACAGTAAGAGGCCAAGGGCGGCGCTGAGGAGCAGCGTGAGTGACGCGTCCCGGCGTAGGCGCAGCCGCCTCCTCATGACCGCGTGGCCGACGCCCGCCCTCTCTTCGAAGGGTCGCCCGCAGAGCCTCTGGAAGCAAGGACCGGTGGCGGTTGGGGGTCAGAGGCTCCAAGCCCCGCCTCCCGGAGAGGAGGGTGCGGGAGACCACACCCTGGGGGGGGGGGGTCTTAAACTACCGGCAGTTCATTCCCCTCCGTTGCACCTCCTCCTCGCACCCCTGGGACTAGCAGCCTGAAGGGACAAGATGTTCCCCCTTGTAGCGAACTCCCATCCCCTGGACTCCAGCCCGGGACTGTGCCCAAGAGGCGAAAGCAGGGCAGAAAGGCCCTTTCTCAGCCCTACTTTTTCCCACCCCTCACGCTAAGACCGAATCCCTTCTACCTTTCTCCTCCCCGCCCCAACCTCTGTCTCTGGGATCCCGACACTCACTCTGGGAGCGGCGTGGCCCCCCGACGCTGGAGCCTCGGGCTCAGCGCAGGGTCCTAAGGGCGGCCATGGACGGGGCCTGGGCCAAATGCAGCGTTGGCAGGAAGGGGACCGAGGCCGTGCCACGTGACCCTCCAGCTGTGCGCGCCCGGACATCTGGAGCTCAGCTCCGCCCCGGCGCCGCGCCGGGAACTCCGAGTGAAGATAAATCCCTGAGAGGATTCCTTAGGGGCAATTCTTGCTGGGAAGGCCTGTTCTTGGTGCTAGCTCAGACTCCCCAAGACCGCGTTTCTGAGGCCCGGTAAGTATCGGTGTCTCTGGTTACCCCCACTCTCACGGAATGCCCCCCGCCTGCCACCCAGTAAACTGCCGAGTGAGGACGGTTTGCACACACAAAACTGCTTCTCCAATTCTTACAACAGTTCTCATTACTTAGGCCCAGATGGGGACGCTGCTTCTTAGGCCCAGGAGGATCATACAGGCAGAAAGTACTGTCCCAAATCTTTTGGAATTCAGTCCAGGAATCCTCTGTGCTTCCCCCATCCCACCTCTCCTTTGTCCCCATTGGGATACAAGACAGCAGGTCAACCCTGTCTGCATTAACTTCCCAGGCAAGCACTGCAGCCCTGTCTTCCAGGAGCTTATAAGCCTGAGTCCAGTCCCAGATTCAGTTTTGAGTCTCCTGCTCCCCCGCAGAGCCTCCTGCACATAGAAATGTCTTGTGTCTGTGCCACTGCTGACCAGACTGGGTTAGCAGGGATTGGTAAAGCTCCTGGAAGAGGTCACTCAGCAAAGGCTTTGACCTGAGATCAAGGTGAGCAGAGTGGCACCCTGGAGCCTGAGAACCCAGTCCTTGCCTAACTCTGCTGCCAGCTTTCAACTATCTCTTCCTGGAACTCAGGGTCTCCAGACCTCAGCCTATGTGGTAGAGCTTGGAGTAGAAAACCCCCAGCAAAGGTGTGCATCACTGCTTCACTTCCCACTCCTTTCCATGGTACCTCCACCCAGAATCTCCATGTTATTAACTGAATACACCTCAGTCTTAACTGATCTGTCAGCTGGCTTTCTTACCACAGTATTCCCTGACCCCCAAACCCCTGGTTTTCCTCTTTATTCTTGGGGTTACACTTTTCTAGTAAGTGTCCTTCAGTCCCACTATCTGTCCATTCATGAATCTTTACCTGTGACCCAACTCCTAAACCCAGAACTATATACCCAGCAGCCTTCACACTCCCTCACTGGATGTCCTACAGGAACACCATTTCCCATGAACAGAGCAAACAGGGCAACCCCAAGCCTCCATCCCACTGGCAAAGGAAGAAACTTTGGGTCCTCTTTACCCCATTCCAATCCAGGGTTACCAAGGCCCATTCTTCTTCCTGAAGATCTCCTAGTGTTCATCTCTTTTCCTCCATTGCTGCAGCCACTGCCCCAGTATCTTGTCTCCTTCTTGCTGCTTTTTCTTGCATTTTCTCCCTCTCTCCCTCCCCCTCTCTCCGTGCGCGCCCCTCCTTCCCCCCCCCTCCATCCTCACCAGCCTCCCAGTCTTAATTCCCAAACCCTTCAAAGGCTTCTCACTGGCCTCATTATTAAATCCAAATTCTGTAAAATGGATCACCAGACTCCATGTTCTCCTTCACTGATGGGTCATTCAGCAACCCCCTCCAGCCACTCTACACTTCTCTTCCCTATTCCCTTCCTCAAGACCCCAGGGTGTTGCTATGCCCAGAGCACTGCCTTTCTCTCAACTCCCCACCTCACCCTTCCCACCAGCTCATCTCTTCAGGAGCCTAACACCAGGCTGGGGTAGGCCTCTGTGTTCCCACAATTCCCTGAGTGAAAGTTACATTTTATTACCATTGCTAAGTACTTGGGTCTCACACTGAGTGAGCTGGGGCAAGCGGGATTTGGGTATTTGGCTCACTACAGTATTTGCAGCACCCAGGGTGGTGCCTAGGACAAGGAAATTCCAGGCGCTTATGGAGTCACTGTTCAAGGAGTGAAGGGGGTGAGGGCTAGCCAGAAGATTCTCTTTTGGGGATAGGGGAGGATGGGAACGACATTCATACTGTCTCCATCAAAGAATCTAGAGCAGAATCCCCAGTGGTATGTCCCAGGAGCTCAGCAGGTGTTCCTATGGATCCTGGAGAAGGCACTCAACTCTGCTGCAGCAGCTCAGTGAAGTAGAGGTTTTAAATGTAGGGTTCCAGTGGATTTGGAAGGAGGGTCAGCAATAGTAACAGTAGTAGCAGAAGGGACTCTAGAACCATCCAGATGCTCCAAACGCTGCTGGGCTCGTGGTGGACTGCTGCATCCTTGGAACCGGGTCTAGGCCAGGCCTCCATCAGGACCTGCCAGGCCCAGCAGGTCCTCTGCCAGACTGGTGAGCTCATTCTCCTCTAGCGCCTCTACTAGGCGCTGCAGTGTGGCTCGGCGGCCCTCCGCCTGCACGAAACGACGCAGCAGTTGGAAGGCCTGCTCGTACAGCCCATCACGCTCGTATTCATAGGCCAGTGAGTCCAACGCTGGGTCGCGCAATGCCCGACAGCTGCGCTGCAGTGAGCGTCCCACCCTACGCCACTTGAGGCCCACTGAACGTGCGAACGTCTGTTGGTCCTGCAGGCTCAGTGGCCGATTCACTGTGGAGGGAGTTGGGGAGGCAGATGGGTGGGAGGGACCCAAGAGCCGGCCCCCACCTGTGCCCAGCCACTGACGTACAGCCTAACCATCACCCTTGCCCAAACTCCAACCTCCCGGGGACCCCACCTTTGCGCTTGCACCTCACCTACTGGCCGACCCTGGAACAGAAACGTCTGTCCAGACAAGGGCGGTGGCTTTTCCTCTGGCGGAGAGGGGACCAGGGACTGCGAGGGGGCTGGGACGACATCAACATCCACATCCACATTATCACCCTGGCCCTCCAAACCACACGTTAGATTGCAGAGCGCATCTTCCAGCTCAGCTAGTTCCTCATCCCGGAGCCGGTCGGGCTAGGGAAGGGAGTACGAGGTCAGAGGGGCTTTTATCCGTGAATCCCCACCCTACCCCATGCGGACCCCATCCTGCCGCACCTTCTGGGCTAAGATGCAATTCAAACAATGCTCCTCGTCCGTCAGCCAAGCATCTAGCCTCTCGGCACCAGCGCGCAGCTCCAGCTGCAGCGGTACAGAGCGTTGGGCCAGCGCTGCTGCCAAGCAACTTTGCAGCTTGGCGCGCAGAGTTCCCTCCCGGTAGACGTGGAGGAAGCGGCTACAGGGCTGTCTCCCACAGAAACGCAACTGCACAATCAGCTGCGGGTCGCTGCGGTGGATCTTGAGTATCTGCAGCACGTCTGGGCTCTCGGCGCTCTCTGCGGAGGTGAGCAGTCAGGCTCCAGGTGGTCCCCAAGTGGGGCGTTCTCCAAGCGGGAGGTGGGGCAAAGCCCATGGTCAAACCCCGTCCCCATTCTCTGACCTGGGATACTAGATTATCCAGAGTACCCAGCTGGGAAACAAAAAAGGGAATGCAAACAGCAACAACCCAGAAAGCAGGCCAGGACCTATCATAGAGTACATTCCAAGATAAGAGTGGGTGCCACCTAGCCCTATCTCTTAAATCCCAAATGGAAGAGAGGGGCTTTGCAACACAGAAATGGGGCATATGCCCTGGGCCACCAGGCTATGTGCATAGGCAGGCAGGGGAAGGGCAGGAGGTCTCAGGTCTTTGGCTTCCACCTAGTGTGGTTCCCTTTCCCCTGGAAAGAGAGGGGTTCTTGATTTTCTAAGGTTGGAGCTGGATGCCCCAACCAGCTTCAGCCTCCTGTGGCTTCTACCCTGAGATGAGAAAGAAGAACCTGGAATGGTAAGTAGTGGGGAAGGGTCTTGGGCAAGGAGTACTGTAGTGAGAGAGGAAAAGAGAAGAGAGAAACTTGTGATTACTAGAAAGGAGTGAGCTGGCTGCTCCAGAGTGGGGGGCATAGAGTAGCAGGACATTAGTGCAGAAATAGGTAGATGTACAATCATGGATAAACATGATTATGCTCAAGGACACACATGCAGTAAGCAGAGAAGACAAATCCTACACAGCCAGTTTTCTCTACCTTACACTTACCCTCCCTCACCAATTCTTTTCCTGAAAGTGGCTATAAGCCCAGGCCCACCAAATCCAGGAGGTGGGGTATTACCCCTGCCCCACCCACAAAAGAGCCTAGCCCACCTCTTCTTCTCCCATTCCTACCCATTTACCCACCTGTCAATGATGTCTGTAGAGCCCTGTATACTGCCACCTTCTTCTGGGGGTGTGCATAGGCATCAGACAGAACCACCTTGTCCAGTAAGGATTCCAAAAACAGGTATGCACTGCCCACCCACTCTTCGTGCCCATTTGGCCCAGCTGCCATCTTGCCTCCTAGAGACAGACAGGCATCTGGGTTATCCTAGCCTTGGAGACAACCGTCCAGTCCCATGTGCAGCTCCAAAACACTGCGAACATTTGTTTGTCCTGCAGGCTCAGTGGCCGATTCAACTGGCACACTTGAGGTAAAGAGTTCACCGTCTTACAGGTGGCACCCTGTGCCTCTGGCTCTAAACAGAGCCCCTCCTAGCCCAGACTTAGTGAATATTGTCCTTCCATTATCTTCCAGAAAAAATCCAGGATCATGGTGGCAGAAAAGTGGAGGTGGACCCTGCAGTGGAAGCAGAGAAGCTCTGCCTCCTCCTCAGGTCAGTGTCTTTTTTTTTTTTAATATATTTTTAAAATTTTTTTGTTTTAGTTGGACACAATACCTTTATTTCATTTATTTATTTTTATGTGGTGCTGAGGCTCCAACCCAGGGCCTCGCATGTGCTAGGTGAGCATTCTACTAGGTGAGCGCTCTACCACTAAGCCACAACCCTAGCTCAGGCCAGTGTCTTTTTTTACCAAAACTGACGAGACTATTCTGGATAGTGCCAATGCCCCAAGGCCAACCAGACCCAGGTCCTGGCCTTGCCTTCAGCTTAAACTTGGGTCCCCAGGGTCCCTGTGGGTCCACAGCCCCTACCCTTAGGTTATTTCATCTACCTTCCCACTACTACACCTGGCTTCACTTCAAAAGAAACCTGAAGTTTAATCCCACCCAGATTCCTTCTCCCAATCCCAAGACACCTCTAAGAACTTTCTTCCTTTGTTTTCTCAATCTCTGTCCAGGTCTGGTCATATGAAGCAAGTCTGACCAAACTGCATATTCCACTCACTATTCTAGTTTGGGTTTGGGGAATAGGGCTCAAGTTGGACCAGTGAGAATCAACCCTGCAACTCTGCCTGGATCAATAGGAAAGATGTACTAATTTCCTTTCCCCTGGGGCTAAACTGAAGGAAGGGGCGGTCTGTTTTGCCATTGCTTGGGAAGTGCCTGGTTGAGAATGAAACCAACACAGAAGGAAACAAAGCCAAGAGATGGAGAAGGGAACTTCTAACCACACTATGGCCCTGGATCCAGCTGTCCCTGAAGCTTTTACAGCCTGGACTGTTCAGGTATGTAAGAAAACCCATCCCTCTTTGTTATAAGTCCTTGGAATTGGGCTCTTCTCCAACTCAAATTATTCTATTGTAGGTTCATTCCTATCCAGATAGTCAGAGCTCCTTAGTAGTAACATCTTCTCCAGTCATCTTCTATCAAAGTCTGGCAGGAAGCAAAATTCCCAGCCAGGCAACCAATGCATTGACCCTCTGTTCAGTGGCCTCCCAGCTATTGGCCCAGGAAGAGGCAAGTCCGCCAGCTCACCTGAGGGGATACCCCCTCTTTCTAGAAATGAACTCAATTCCCCAGCTCCTTATCCCATAAGTCACATTCCTTTACTTTCTGTCAGCATTTACAGATAGTGGGTTCAGAAGGGTGCTGAGCCCAAGCTCTGGGCAGGACAGAAAGAGGAGTCCCAGCTGTCTTCTATTTATAGACAGGGAGCCTCAGGGGAGGGGGGTCCCAGGAGGAGCCAACCTTGAACTTCCTTGAGGAGAAAGTAAGAATCTTGAGGTTAAGGCAGAGAGCAGAGGCTGCATTTCAGACCTTCCCCAGGCTCTAACCTGAGGGCCAAAGCTAGAACACTATTTAGGCCCTCCAGCATTACCCACCCTGGCAAGAGAAATGAAAACTGGCAATGGCCCTACCCTGGGTCTGAGCACAGGGGACACACTTTTTGGAGTCCCCACTCCATACAAGTCATTACATAATTAAAACATTAATACTGTGTATTTACCCAAAACAATAGTCTGAAAATTAACAGATCAGGATGGGGGGAGTGGCTGAGGTAATTTTTGTTTCATTTTATTCAGCAATATCTTCTACTTTATGTAAGATAGAAACATTTGGGGCTGGTACTATAGCTCAGTGGTAGAGTGCTTGCCTGGCATGTTCAAGCCTTGGCTTCAATTCCCACCACCAAAAATAAAATAAAGACACATTTCCTTTGTGTTAAAAAAAAAAAAAGCAAAGTAAATGTCTTTATT